TCTCTCTCTCTCTCTCTCTCTCTCTCTCTCTCTCTCTCTCTCTCTCTCTCGCTCTTATGAAAATCTCATTGATGGTAGAGAAGCAGAAGCGAGTAGCAAGCATGCACACCATCCGTCGTGTCGCACCCAGCGCAACGTCGCAATGGAAACGTAATAGTGCCTCGGCACGGAGCCCCCTGACAGTCCCGCCAACAAAGCGGCCCCGCCAACACCGCGAAAGCAGCGCCAGCGCCAGAGTGCTGAAGTAGCAAGAACCCCATGCAGGTCAACCCATGGCGACGGTGCATGGAGAAGCGGTAGAGGAGTGGCTCAGCGCTGCGGCGCAGTCTGCCATGATGAGCGACATGAGGTGTGAGGTGTGAAGGTGTGGAGGTCGAACGGCAGGATGTATGTCTGCACCCCAAAATTGTGTGTGGCGTGGTGTCGATCGCATGCTGAAGATTCCCTCCACCACATCGCACCGTCGCGTTGATTTGCGTGGTGGCACCTGCTGTGTTTTTGCACGTACAATAGCGATGTGGCCGTTGGCATACCTTGATATGAGCTTGTCGACCCATCCTCTGGTTCTCCGATCGGAGAAAATGAATTTTCCGCTGAATGTATACTGCTGTAGATGATTGCCCGCACGAGGACCTTGCGAACTTGTGACAAGCTCCTGAATCTGATAGACTACACAACGTGGTTGAAAGTATTGGAATCCCGTTGTCACGAGATCGCGGCCTCGCAAAGCTTTCGCGAGATTTCGTCGCCGCTAGAAAGGACCAGGGCCACCCCGCCTCTTTGTGCTAGACGCCGGACCCGGTCGAGTTTGCGGTCCACCTGCGCTGTTGTGCTTTTGCGTGTCACAGCGCCTCCGGTGTTTGCTCTCCCCGGCTTGCAGCTCGTCAGTTAGAGAGGCAGGGAAACCACACAGGGTGCAGCAGTACTCTAGTTACAAACTGCGATTTTCACCTTCCACGACAACCGTATGTACGCACGTGTCCAGGGGCCGGGTTTTCGACGACCCCTTGCTCATACCGCGGGTCATCGACATGGTCAAGAACTCTAGCGGATCGAGCGACTTCAAGACGAACATTAGCGCTGTAGGCGGCGGCAGGACTTCTTTCCGGCCGCCCCCGCCACCGTTGCCATCTCGTGAGCCAAGGAACGATCATGACGGTGGGCATACCGATCGGCAGCAGAATGGACAGGATTGCCGCGGGGGTGTCGGGGACGAAGCCGCAACGCGCGCAGTTTTACCAGGCGGAGACTTGCCCCAAGACCCCCCGTTCGATACGGCACCGCCCCGGACCCCGCCCGCCGCCGCGAGAGCGCTTCGTCGGGCGTTCACCTTTTTGAGGAACGCCTGCGCTGGGTGCCCGGGCAACAACCATGCGCTTCGCCACACCGGCCTTGCAGAAGCGGCAAGTGTTTTTTGCAGGACAAGGCTAACTTCGATAGCTTTTCCGGCTGTAGTGGGGACCATTGTGGATACGCTGTTTGCTGTAGGTTACGGTGCCACGTATGTCAGGAGAGGTGGTGCGGTGAATGGCGGTGATATGGTTGTTCGGGTTCGCTTGTTTCGCATCGACTGCTTATACCACTCGTCCATACCCTCGTGATGTGCGTCTTGTAATGCTGGCAACCAGCCGGCCGGCTGCTTTTGATTTTCGAATGATTTACTCACCCGCGGGATGTGGGTTTGGGACCGCCTCAAATATCCATCGAGACCTTAGAGTGATTATCCGCTCGGCAATCTGTTGGCTGCTGTGTCCATCGCATACGATTGTTTGGTTGAGCGAGGCAGCCCTGCAACTCCAAAGGCCTTTGATGGGCGATAGATAGCCAGTGTGGTTTTTCTTGGCTGCAACGGTCCAGTGCAATATTTTACAATACATAAGCCGCGTTTTACTCACCTCGACTTTTCAGAATTTCTCTACACCTTGTTGGGGCGCGCGCTTGACGGGTGCAAAGAAGGAAGAGATTTCCAAGAGGAGATGAGGAGATCAGAGGACGTGATTGGTGCAACTCTCGAAAATAGATTGCAGGCACTGGAGAATATTGTGGCCACATTGAGGCTCGAGGAGTACAAAAGAAAGGAGGCATCAACATCACATACTTTGGCACGAAATAACCGGGAAAGCCCCTGAAACGTTCGGAATGTCAATTGCGTGGAGTAGTGCTAATGCTCCGTTTCGAGAAGGCGCCTGAGCAGTGGTCAAACAACAAAAGCGCGCGCAACTCATGAGTACCCATCCCAGAGCTTGAAGTCCACCTGCAGCACGCCGTAGTGGACTTTCTACGACGCCGTGAGTGCCTCCAACATGCGCCGTCCCCACCCCTGTTTTGCTGGCACCGACACAAAAAAAAAATGCAGGCGCTCCAATTCGCCGTAGATCAAGCTCTTTTCGCCTGTGCAACGACGTCCCACCCCGCCGCAAGCACTGCGGAGTGCCAAAGCGAGGTGGGGGGTACGTCAGACGTCAGGCTCGCGGTTCGAGCCGGTCTGCAGTTCGCTTACAACTACTGCGCCGGCAGCGAGGAGAGCAAAGTCTCGCTGTGGGCCGCGTGGTTCCCTCGGGGTCTGATGGTGCGTGCGAACGTCTCCTGGTGTTTGGTTTTGCGGCTGAACGAGTTTGATATCTTGGTACACGCCGCCGGTCCGTTGAGCGGAAATCCGCGAATCCGCTCCGATCCGAGAGAGAGAGAGAGATGTGGGGCTGTGAGCAGAGAGACAGAGAGACAGAGAAGAGAAGGAGCATCAGAGTCTTGTTTCCGCGCCATACGTTGACGCCATTCACCGCCTTGCCGATTCGGTTGGCACGGGATGCATGCGTACATCCCATGGCAGGAGCTGGTGAACGAGCTCAAGACAGACCGCGGCTTGCTCTCTCTCGCGGTCGCGTTGATCCACAACTGCTGCATCTCGCCTCGGCCACGCGAGCCAGGAGAGGACGATGGTAGCGACCGAGGAAGCAACAGAGACAACGGGGCAGGAGAAGCCGGCGGGGAGGAGGCGGATGGGGGAGAAAGAAGTAGAGGCCGAGAGCGACTTGCGCTCCTCTCAGCAGACAAGGCGTTCTGTTGCCTTCTCATGAAGGTGATTGTTGTGTTGCTTCCAACCCCGCAGAAGTGGATGCGGGCCATGCGAGTTTGAAACCACGTGCTTTTTTGTTAGCAAGTCTGCCGAAAGACTTGGCGGTGCGAGGCCTGGACATCAAGGCAGGCGTTATTCGTCCGGCGATTTGCACCTTACAGAGTATTGTCGGAGGCATACACGGCAACACATGCGTTAGGTCACTGGGCGTATGGACGCGTCCTTGGGGCGAATTCCAGGCGTCGCGAGAGACTAAACGCGAGCCAGCTACGTAGCGGGTTGACCGTTTATCGTGCCATGACCCTTGTCCAAGCTGTTGGTGTGTTTGTGCCTGTGGTTTGATGTATACAACGGTTGTTTCGTGAATGTTTGTTGCGCGTGCTTCCGGGGAGTGACCCCCGCGGTAGGTAGATCTGTTCTTCGCTCAGCGAATATGTCTCGAATGGCTCTCGCTGCTGAGGGGACATGAAGCGCGGGAGCACGCACCTCACGACATGTGGTACCCTGCGTTCTGCTCTTTTCACTTGCCCGTCGCTTCTGCGTGAACTCGCCTCCTTCTGCGCCGTCCAATCAATGCTCTCTGCGCCCATCTCGTCAATTGGTCGTTGCACTTGTTCGAAGGTCGTCGTTCCCCCGAGCAGCGGCGGCGGCGAATCCGTGGGCGCCAGCGGTAGTCACAGCCGTGAACGCAGTGGCGGCGAGCCCGATGACGACCCCGCAGCAGAGTGGCTGTACCTGCTGTTCTGCTGCTTCGTCCAAGAGCGCCTGTGTCGCCGCGTCTACGACAACGTGGGCATTCGGGCGGGGAAGAGAAGAAAGCGGCCACGGCGACGAGGTGGGTGCGGAGCAGTTGTTGTGGACTCGGCGAGGGTGGCGCAAAGCGGCGGGGAAGAAGATGGAGCAGCGGGTGGCAGCGGCAGTGTGCGTGCCATATCTGGCGTGGGGCGTGGGGAGGAGGAATGGGGAGAGGGCGGGAAGGGGAGAGTCGACGAGGAGGAGGAGGAGGAGGAGGAAGAGGAGGGTGGCGATGAATACTTCTTCTTCCCCGTGACGCCGGAGCAGCTCATTGTACTGAACCTGGCGGAACTCGCGACAGGCAAGTGTGGCTGGAATTGTAGATCTCCTTTGGTTGATGAAACAGAAACCTGATTTTCTCCTGTGGTTTAGTAGCGAACATGCGGCCCGCTAGGGCGAGCGTGATAAGTGACATTTGTAAGCAGACTATCTAGCGACTTTGTGTCTGGTCGGTGCGAACACGATCACGTGCGCAGTATCAATGGGCAGATCGAATTTGGCGAAGCTTTCCCGAACATGTACACACCAGTGAAGAGTTTTGGCGTAGAAGTAGGACCGTCGAATCGCCCGGTGCAATCCCCACCATTGAAAGGTTCTTGCTTTCTTTTAGCTTTGAAGTTCAATTGTCACGGCTTGGGTCGCATTTACCAGCTACCTCTTGCCAAGAACTACAGCTGTTTGGTACCTACGTTACCGTCTATGAACACGCAGACACCCCGTTGTACGGGAGAATAGAGATTCTTGTGGTGAAGAGACCGCACTATTTTCGTCTCCCACGCTGCTCGTTGTCATCGCCTCCCTTGTCCGACCGCTGTTGGCGAGGCAGCGGACGAAGTGGTCACCGGCGGCGAGTGCCCCAGCCCCCGGCAGCGCCAAGCCTGCAGCGCTCTCGCGTCATGGCTGACGGGGCTCCTCTCGGCGATGCCTCTCAGCCAGTCCCTGCTCCCACGGACCGGTACCGCCCAACCGCCACCGACGGCGGCGGAGATGTCGGCAGCGGCAGCAGCAGCAGCAGCAGCAGCAGCAAGGAAACCGCTGTCTCCATCATCATCGGCGGGGGACGAGGACCGGGGCGACGGGGTTGCCGCCGACGCGGAGACGGAGCGGGTGCGGCGGAGCATGCGCGAGGAGGCCAGGTCCGCCGCGCTCCGGGGGCTAGCGGCGCTGCTCGCGGGGTGCAGCGACGAAACCCGGCAGCAAATCGCCGCCGCCGCCGCGACGGAGACGGGTGCGGAAACAACGGCAACGGTGATGGTCGCGCCAACGACAGCGGCGGAGGAACCCCAGCAGGCCGCGACTCTGGGTGTTGCCTTGGGTGAAGCGGAAGAAACGACGAGATCAGCAGCGAAGGCGACAGCAGCAGGGGTCGGTGGTGCCAGCGAGGGAGAGGGGTGCGAGGCAACGAGGGTGCCGAGGGTCAGAGAAGATGGCGGCGGCGGGCGCGGTGGATCTTCACCGCCAACCCCGACGACAGCGACGCCCGTGGTCTTGCACCCCGAACCCCGGGGACTCGTCCCTCTCTGCTTAAGGCTTTTACATGGTTGCGGGGGCGCCGCCGAGCCTAATCCCTCAGCTAGCAGCGGCCAATTCTCCCGAAAAAAAGGGTCGACGGCTTCGGCAGCCGTAGCCGCAGGAGCCAGAGACACGGCGCGCAGTGGTAGCCACCATCGCGGGGCACTGTCGGGCGGGGCGGTGCCGGCCGGGCGCAAGGTAGAGCTCTTGAAGGTGATCGGCAATGCGTGCTTCCGGTGCCGGCGGTCGCAGGACTTGGTGCGGGAGGAGGGAGGGCTGCCGCTGGTGCTCAACCACTGCGCGGTGGACGAGACGAACCCCTTGCTCAGGTAAGTGCTGCCTGCATTAGTATAGCCTTGATAAGTAGAGACTTTTGACGCTCACGTTGTGCCCTAGGTGTGTTTTTCCAGGAGAGAGCCTCCTTTCATATTTTCGGCAAACAGCAGTCACCCTCGTGTTGCTGTGTTGCTTCTTGGTCGAGTGGGTTGGCTTTCGGTGCGCTGGCGTACGGATGCACATGCGGTAGGATGGTTCTTTTCATTGAGCCGCGTTGGCTCCATTGTTGTTGAGGCAGGATTGTGTTACGGGAACGCGCATACCTTGGCGCGTCTCTTACTCGAGCACGTCAACGGTCGAGGCGGCTTCATGACGAGCCTATTATGCTGTACGTCTCGAGTTTCCCTGTAGGTGCTCGCGTTGTGTTATGTAAGGTTTGAGCGGGCTTGCCCTCACTCTCCATTGCAAGATGCTCGACAATCGTACAAAGCTCGTTCACAAAATCTCGTCTATGGTGTTCAGCCTCAACGCCCTCCTCCTCCTCCTTACCCCCTGCTGCCCTTCCCATACCTTCGTTGCCATCTCTGCCTCACCGCTGCTTCTCTTACTGGCTCCATCTATACTCCCTTTTGGACCTCTTCTTGGCCCACCCCCTGCGGGTCTTCCGCTACTCTCCTTTTCTCCGCCCGGGGTGCTCTTCCTCCCTCGGACCCCACCCTTTTGGCGCGTTGCTCCTCGGGCTGATGACCTTGAGACCTGCAGAGAGTACGCGCTGCTTGCCGTGCGGAACCTCTGCGAGGGGAACCCCGCGAACCAGGCATCTATCGCCTCGCTGCAGCCTCAAGGATGCACCCCCGGCATGGTGGAATCCCTGGCGGACATGGGGCTCGAGGGCAGCGTGAACGCTGAGGGGAAATTCACCGTCGGCCCTCGACCCACCACATCTTGAAGTATATGGGGAGGAAGTGTCGCACGAAGGTTTTAAATCTTGGTGTAGGGCGCTACGTTTTTGTGACAGCGTTTGCAGGGTTAGGGGATGAATAGCGCGGTTAGATGGCACTCACAGGTGGTGGTACTTGAAGGGTACACATGAACAGTGCCAACCGTAGATGAAGTGCCGTACGTGACCATTTCCCCCAAGAGTGAACATGCCCTATTGGCCACAACGACAGGCGGACTTTGGCTGCTATCATTGTAGATACCGGTAGTTTGTTATTCTGTCGCAAACGCTGTCCCTTACAGTCGTTTTCTTGGACTGCTTCCGGTTGTGGGTGTACCACTCACTCATCGAGAACAGAGATATGCGCTCTCTATCTTGTTTTTTTTTTTTCTAACCGAAGAGAAGAGCGTCAACGGTGTGCGCCCTTGGTAAAGCCCACAAGATTGTATCGGCAGTGTAGACAAGAGTGAGACGTGGGTGACGCGGAGACGGTACACCATGAGTTGAATGATGCGGCGAGCTGGTGCGACTGGAACCTTGTCCTTATATTCTTGTGCCGCTGGATGATTTTCGACTGCGTCCTTCGCCACCGTTTTCTAGCATGACATAAGAGTGGGTTGTTTCGCCGTTCACGTACGTACGTCGTCCAACTTAGCGCGTGCAAATGAAAAGTGTGTTGGATGTGGAGCAATCATCCTGTGAAGGTCGGCCAAGAAACGAAGGTGTTTGTAGGTATTACCATCTCTGATCAAACTGGTGCCGACGCCTTGCTGGGGCACAGGTTGTTTCCTACCAACATTCGTCGTCACCGCATGTCTGTCTATCGCTCCGACCACCACCACCGCTCTCTCTACACTCGGCCATGAGAGTCTTCCACCGTCGGCGTACTCAAAGAGAGGGAGTAGCCCAGGGTCGCTGTGGACGCGGAGATCATGAAACAGCATATGCTGCTGTAGTTTACCCAGCCTACGAACACAGCATTACAGTAGAGGTCCCTGTTTAGTACCGGGGTGTGCGCCGAAATTTCACTGGCGCTAAACTGGACATCGGCAATTTTCAACGTACAGAACGACTTAGTATTCCAGTGCGTGCGAGCCGACAACACCGACACTATACCGGCGACCGGCACTATTCGACCGGCACTAAACAGAGACCTCTACTGTAAGTGTTTGGGTGGCCGACAGCCCGAACAGGTTCCAACGCTGTCGGAGCACCTACCAGCAGATTCCAAGCGCTGTCGAAATCCGGTCTCAGACATTCTCTTGAAAATAGTACGGTAGCGGCTACGGCTTCATAGGGTCGTGACAAGCCAAAATCCCTCTGTTAAATCGGCACGTACTTCTGTCAAACCGTTTCGGCTACCTACGGTATCACATAATATTTTGTTCAAGCCGTATAAGGTTGAACGTAATATGTACAAGTATGTTAGACTGTGCCGTTGCCAAAACGAAAGGCCATGAAACATGGGCCCAGTCGTCCCAGCAACAGAAGTATGTGCCGTCAGAGTTGACGGAGAGCCAAGGGGCCCTCCATGTGGAAACCGTAGAACACCCTCCCCCCCAGGGCCACGATTGCAGCGTAAAATCGGGGGTGTAGGCGGCACGCTTGCAGCAGTCTATTGTATAGGATTTAGTGTGTCGATAGTAAAACCGATATGGGTCTGTGCGAAATAAAGATCCGTACACATGGGCCCTACTCAAAGTCGTGCATGCCGTAGTCGTTAGACCATTGACCTCGCATCCCTACAAAGCCGGGACGGAGCACGCCGGGTTCTCACCGGACCAGGCTCTCACATCACCAAGCGCGAAGCGCCGTGAGATATTCGGCGAGTCGCATGAAGGGTGCGCTGCATCCTGCTAAGGGTTTTCGGCATCTTGTGCTTACTTCCTTGCGTACGGATGACAGCTGCGTATGGCTTAATTTACTTTCTGGAACTTTCACTTCCGGAGACAGTTGTAAGCACTGTGTGACTGCCTCGAGGGTGCTTGACCATTTTAACACAGCGCGGTGCGACCATCCCCCTTGCGCGGAGCGAGGGTTCTCCACCCCGCACAACATGATCTACTCGACCACCATT